CCTGTATATATATATATATACCCAAGCAGTAACTTAACGATTAATAATATCCGTTAGTGATTTCAACTAGCTGGGTTGTTTTGCGAGGATTGACTACGCACGTTAATCGATATTACTGTTGAGGGCTTCTTTGTTATCGGGGTAGCTGACATAATCAGCGAAATGTTTGAGTGAAGCATCGTTTTGTGAGACACGGAACGATGAAGTGGGGGTCAAGCTAAAATGCACATATTTATTAATGCGATCCTGACAAGTTTGTGACGTTATTGGCATAATCCAATATTTGAGAGATTGAAAAAGAAAATCCTAAGCTAATTATGTCTGAACAACTTCAGTCAGACATGTTTTTTCCGTCTCGTATTACGCGGTGAAATATAAAATGAAAAACTAAAACAAGTGAACATTCATTTGCGATACACTCACGAGGAGGTAGGTCCTGATCACGTGGGTCAGGTCATTTACTCACTATAGATCAATAGGTCGCCGGTCACATGCGCGAATTTTGCCATCCCCGGAGACAGGTTTAAATTGGCCATGACTCTCCCCCCCCCTCCGGTAACTTAAAATGAATTGAAGAATTTTCTGGTAAATCAATCGAAAAAGGAATTAAAGAATGTTTTCTTTTCCACAACAGATATACTATTTGTTGTACAATTACCACGTGCTTTTTGAGGCATGGGACTAATGTGAACAACCTCTTACAGTTCAACACAAAAATATCATTCGTAACATATCGACGGACAGAAAATCACCGGGGTTCGATCTGGGAAAAATCTCAAACACATGTTCTGTGCCAGTTTCGGTGTGTGGTAAGCATCCGGTGCGTGACAGCATTCATATCTGCGACCCTTATTTTTCGTTCAAAAGCAGGTCTTGCTGGTCAGTAGTAATATACATTTTTTAAATTTTCACACGTCTGAGTTCAGACAGGGAGCCAAACAAAAATCACTGTACAATATTCGGTATGGGACAGCAGTGAGTAGGGCTATCCCGGCAGAGGCTATTTTAGATGCTTGGTCGCACCAGGGAGGGATGAGCAGTCTCAACTTGAGATACCCAGCTCTGACCATACTGATGAGACTGTCGGATACCGGTCAACAAGTGGCGTGATATACACACGTATTGTGGTACACAATTATCAATTGCTGATGTGATCCCCGCAGTCGAACAGTTTTTCGTACCCTGGACCGATCAAAAAGTGTTTTGATATAAGCTCTCGGAATGTTAGTGCTTGTGATTTTCACAAATCGATCATTTGGAACTAGTTCACAAAGATTATTCAGTGGAATAATTACAGCACAATCAGCGGAGTTTTGGAATCATCGATTCAGGAAATATGTGCTACCTGAATGATGAAAATACAACTGGTTTGAAAATTTCGTTTCTCTTTTTCAACGGATTAGTTCGGAACGGATTGATGCGCAAAAAAAACTGCTCTCAATTGTTGACCAACAAAAACTTGATGCGCTTGAGAGAAGCTGGGGGTATTTTGGTTGTTTTGGTTATAAACAATTTTCGTCCGGGTATTTTCTTTTTTAATCCATTGTTTAGATAAAACAGTTGCTAATAATTCACCCATCCTCTTTTCCGCTGTTTCCCACCACTCTCCCTCCCTACGAACCGCACATTTATCGAACTTGCTTGTGTTCTGTTCTGTTCTGTTCTGTTACGTCGCATCGCATCGCATCGGACACAGTCAATCATTCCCCTACCCTTGTATGTTAGTATTGAATTTATCAAAATGCATCAAGTCTGGCANAGTCTGGCACATGAACAACGATCTGAATTTGTACGACCCGCTGGTGGACAAACGCGTGGAGGTTCGCGCATTCAACATCCTGGAAGATTTGGGTCAGGTCGAATACGTGTTCTGTGACAAGACGGGCACTTTGACCGAGAACAAAATGGAGTTCAAGCGGGCTAGCATACATGGTGTGGACTACTGGGCCACAGGGTCAGCCGGTAAGTCTGCCCCCCTTTCCACCCACCCCGCGCGGCTCGCAGTTTTCCTCCCGGTACCACTCATGGAAATCGGCAACCAAAACCCCGGATTTCCGGAATGTCGAACCACATGACGTCCCGCTTGTTTAGGCCTACTCGCAAAACTGGGTGACGGTGACGGGGTTCGAACCTGAAATTTTATTTTGGGTCGAGAACACGCTGATCACATCGGTGTGATTTCTGCAAACGATTTTGCATTCGTTCAATTTTCGCCCCCCCCCTCCGGAGAGAAAAAAAAACTTTTCTGGTGTCATATTTTCTCCGGTAGCAGTCTCTCTCTCTCTCTCGCGCGCGCGCGCGCTTTCAAGTTCTATGAAAGTAGTCATTCGATATCTAAATGCGATGGAAATGTTTGTGATAACCAACAAAAAGCATCGCACAGCTGTTTGGTGAAACCTAACATCCAACAGCATCAATAGCGCCTAGTGCCCGTGAAAAACTGAATGGGCTAATCGAAACATTCAACATCTAAATTGATTGAGCTATTCGCACAAAGTGATAATCGTCGACCGTGTAGCTGAAGGATAAGGATTTGAAGTCCCGACCCAGCTAATCGCGGTTTGAGTCCTGACACGGGGACACAAAACGAGTACGCACACTACTAACTAGTCCCGGAAACAGGATGAAACAGTTGTCCAGTGCTGTTTGTCGGTTATCACAAACATTTCCATCGCATTTAAATGCATTCAACGAATTAACGATCTCTCAACGAGTGAACCCCAACAGCATCAACAGTGCTTGGCGCCTGTGAAAAACCAAATGGACTAATCCAAACCCGCACTATCTAAAAAATGATCCGATACTCTATTTTTCTCACCTATTCACCATCTTACTTCTCTCTCTCTCTCTGTCGTCACGAATGCCAACATCAGATTGCGATGATCCCGTTCTACACGAAGCATTTCTGGTGAATGAATCTTTTTGACGAGATTTCTTCATTCCCGGGAAAATTTTTCTCTCTTCCTCATCGTTGTCGTCCTCGTCGTGGTAGTGTTATTCAGGGGTTCAAGTCAATGCAACTGACAAGCTCCGGGGCTGAACACGTCGTAGCTCAAACCCCGTTACTGACACACACACACACACACACACACACACACCACTATGTGATGTTGGCTTAGCCGCGCTGTCGTCTGGCCTGATGCTACATCCATCCTATCTCGGTCCTAATAGGTTTGCAACTGGACATCCAAAGGGGTTAGAAGACCGGTTCCATAGATCAATCAATAGGCGATCCCCGTGATCATGGGGTCTGCTTCTCTGTCTTTTATTGTTATAATTCGTATACGTCCCAGTCCAGATCGTGTACAAAAAAGAAACAGCAAATCATTCTTTATAAGAAAAAGAAGTTGGCCCATGATTTTTTCATGGACAGAATAAGGCCCTGTTGTCCAGGTCAACACTGGGAAATTCATAGCCTTCGGTTAGCCAAAGACTAATCCGATCTGAGAGGTGGTGTTTGAATGCCACAATCGTTTGGGTGTCGGTGTCAAATTCATTGGATCAATATGGTATTTGGACGGGGTCAACCGTTTAACAGACACACACACACACACACACATACAATACACCTCGATGCCGAGTCTTGCCGGTGATCGGTGTTACAACGAAACTTGTGTATATGTGATTTGTGTACGGCTCTTGTTCGGTTTGGAATCAAACGTCGGGGACGACTCCTCTAGGTGAACTGCCAGTGACACCAGACTGTGTGTGCCAAACAAATCATGATACAATAATCTGTATGAAGAAGGAAAACGTTCCACGATTTGCATGTGAGCGGATAGCTACCAGGTTGCCCAGTACAAGACAGGTGAATTTTCTTGAAGAATCCACAACCGGAGCTTTTGGCTAGCCAAAGCCTGATTCGCAAGGCAGTGGCTCGCGATGTGTGAAAACCGCAATCCATTGGGTGCCAGTGTCCAGTTCATCGGATCATACACCCTTTGGACGGAGTCAAACGTCCAGGGTGCCCAATCGAGCCTGTGATCACTGTCACACCGAGGGTGTGCGTGAGTCTGGTTCGCGCGCTTGTTCCTGGTTGGTTTGTAATCAGGGTTTTTGGCCAACTCCCCTAGGTGAACTATCAGTGGTCAAACAACCGGGTTATAGCCCCGGATGTCGGCTTTTCATCCTCTCACTTTGGTGGGAAAACACCTCCGCATCACGTAAAGGCAGTGAGCAGGGCTTCCTCAACAGACGATATTTGAGACACTTCGTCTTATGGGAGCATTTCGCGAGGTGCATCCGAGAAGGGTGACCAGTCACAAGCCGAGACACCTACCCGTGACCATACTGAGGCTCTTGGAGATAAGGCTGTGCATAGGGCTTCCTCAGCAGAGGGTCTTGGAGATAATACGAGTAGAACAAATAATTTACGCTGAACAGAA